CAATATAGAAACATTAATGGACTCTTCATTTTAAGGCATATAGGCAATTGATATTCATTAAGATTACCTCAGAAAAAATCACCTATTTGAAGGAGATACATACAAAGACAGACCACACAAATACTTGATCAAATATTAAGAAGAATGTAGAAAGGTAATTATTCACTCTGAAATGGTTACCTTATAGTTTTAATCTCAATTTTAGCAGAGGGCTAATTGACTTTTCTCCACTAGGTCATCTTTACCCTTCCTCACACTAGTTTTTTCATTCTTTACTTATAATATCTGATTTTTATATTTCTTAATCTTCCCAAGTCTATATCCTTCTCTTTTCTGTCTCAGAGGAGCAAGTATCCCTGTATCGCATGTAGTAGAATTCTCCAGTCTTCTATCATCTTGCATACAATTAGTAATTTTACTTCACAGATTGTCATTCCTCCTATGAACATATGTTTAAAATGTCCTAGTATACATTCCTATACAGTGAATATTATTCTGGAGAAAACCTGTTGAATTTTGGCTATGATAGCTTGCCTGTATTATGCATGACAATTATCATAGTCAAAAGTCAACAGTTCTTCCCAGAACAACATTCACTATGTGGACTTTCCAGAATTAACAATCCTGGTTTCTTTCATCAGGACACACAAAGCAAATATCAGTTATGTTAAGTTCTTTCAGTTTTATAATGTATTACGTGCATGAATACATAAGATTATTTTTTGTTCCAATGTGGATATCCCTATCTAGGTATGACAAGTGAGCTCTGGTGGTCTAGTGGTAAAGAGCTATGCTTCCAACCAAAGGCATGCAGATCAAACGTACCAGCTGCTCTGTGGAAGAAATATGGGCAATCTCCTCCCATGAGATTTAGTGCCTCTAAAACCCACCAGAAGCCCAGCTATGAGTTAGTTTGACTTGAAGACACAAAACAACATCAACAACAAGTATAACAAGAGATTCAAAAGAAAATTTTGAAATTTCAATAGAATATTTTGCAATATATATCTGTATATCTCTAACATATTTGATATAATATGTAATATGTGTAAATCAGTGTTTCCCAAGTGATATTTTTGTTTTAAAAATTAAATTACTCAAGAATCATTCTTCTTCTCTTCTGCCAAATTCTGTTAAAGATCAAGTGGGGAATCTGCCACCTTAATTTGTCTTAGTTAAATTGAAAAACGTCCTGGAAGAATGCATAAACAGTCCAAACTGACCAGGTCAAACTCTCAGCAAGAAAATAAATTAATTGTTACTACAACAAAAGAAAGGAAGAAGAAACTGGAAAAAACTTAAATGAAGAGGATGGTGTGTGAGAAAAGGGGGTTTGTCATATTCTGAAATTGAGTTGTTGTTTCCCTCTATCAGATTCATGCCCTCCGTAATCTTCCTCAAAGGCCCTGTCAAAGCACTATGAGGTCATATAAATTACAATCACAGGGATGACAGAGAGAGATTGTCGTCACTACATCAGAATAATATGTTGGTCCCAAGTACAGATATCAAGAAAGATCAGTAAGAACATAGCAACTGCTCTGATGTTAAGCAGAAGGGAGAGGTCAAAGCCTCTACTAATGAAGCCTTTCTGGGCCTATTTTCTCCTTACTCACCAAGTCTTTGCTAAGAAATAAATGTAAGATGTACCTCTAAATCATACAGGAGACAAATAGTAGTGAATGAGTATGAAGAGAAACATAGATAATTATTTAGGTCAGAATATTACTTTCTAAGAAATTAAAGTTTAAGTTCCATATTATCAATGGTACCTTATCTGGATACTCTACAAGAAAACTAGACATTAAACATATTTTCTGAGATAAAATTTCATATTTCAGAAGCATATTTTGTTGAAAATGTAATACATGCTTTCATAAATGGAACCCAATGCATCATTGACACTACCCAGGTTAGCCATCTGAACTAGAGGGTGCCACAATCAAACACACAGCCTTTCTACTTACTTTCAAGTTCATTGACTTGCAGGTAATAGTTTTCCAGGTTTTCACTGACAGTTGGTATGCTTTTCAACTTATTGTAGGAGAGGTCCAGCTCCACCAGGGATGACACATTAAAGGTATTTCCAGGTATTCCGCTATCAGCTAGTTCATTATGAGATAAATGCAGATACTGGAGTCCTTTAAAACGCTTGAAGTATTCATCAGGGATATTGCTGATTTTGTTGTTGTCTAGGTAGAGAGTTAGAAGAGAAATCGGAAGACTAGAAGGCAATTTGGTCATCTGATTAAAGCTCAAGTCAAGGTACTCCAGTGATTTAAGGCCTTTGAAAGCAGCAGAAACAGCATCAGCTTTCAACTGATTGTGTTGCAGATTTATGAAGGTCAGGTTTGCCAGTCCCTCTAAGGAACCAAGCTTTGTGATCTTGTTGTGAGTCAGTTGCAGGTCCTCCAGAGATTTGGGAAGTGGGCTCACAGACTCTGTCAGGTTGTTGTAATTTATATGCAGCTTCTTCAGCTGTTTCAGTCTAGAGAACACCCTTCCCTTTATCTTGGAGCTTTCTAGAAGGTTGTGGTCTAAAATGAGCCACTGCAAGTCAGTTACATTTTCAAAGGCCTTTTCGTCAATGTGATCAATCTGATTGTTTCTAAGGTAAAGGTACTTGATTCCAGCAGGCACCATGGGCACACTTTTCAGTTTCAGGTCATCACAGTACATGGCCGTGGGGTAGCTCGGAGGGCAGTCACATTCTGGTGCGCAGTTTGGTATTGAGAACCCATAGATGCCTTGAGGGAAATCGTAATCATAGTAATAATGGCCACTGGCAACACAACTGAATGCCAGCAAGAGAGTGAATACACACAGGTTCATTTCCAAAATGGCTTTGATTCCTAAAGAAGGCAAAAGCATGCATTATTATAAAATAATACACTTTCAGGAAGGAGAAATTATATTCATAATGTTAAATTCACAAACATGCATTTTTTAATAATTTTAATGAGCATTTACAGAGATTTTGGGTTTCCATTCATTCATTGCTGCACTTCTCTCCCCGCCCAGCCCTCCCCCCCATTGCTCCTCTCTTTCAAAAGTAAAAGAAACACTCTTTCCATGGTACACAATCCCCCGCACCCGTCCTGCCCCCCCCAAGTTCATTTCACTATGCAACCTTAATTGTGGACTCTTGTGATAACATACCCTATCATACATTGCTTTTAAATTATTCACTCCCTCATCTGTTTCAGTGCACTATACACAACTTATCCAGTTTTTCTCAGTCTTACCCCAACCCTGATATCAGTCCCATTTTACAACAGTGGCATCGTGCAATATTTGTCCTTTTGCGACTGAGATATTTCACTCAGCATAATGTCCTCCAGGATCACCCATTTTGAATAATTTTGCATGAGTTCCTTGTTTTTCAATGCAGCGTAGTATTCCATTGTGTGAATATACCACAGCTTCTCTATCCATTCGTTTGTTGATGGGCACCTGGGTTGTTTCCAACTCCTTGCTATTGTGAACAGAGCCACAATAAACATGGGTGTGCATATATCTGCTTGGATGTCAAATATGCATTTTATCATTTTCAAAGATGAAATTGTCACAAAATTATTTTATTTTTCAATTTTATTTGTATATGAAGATAAAGGTGATTAGGAACAGTCTGTCTCATGGAGGACAGTTCCAGGTTAGATTATATATGTGGGCACTTTCTTCTGAGGTGATTCTTCCATTGCCAGCCAAACCACTGTCATTATTAAGGCTATTCCAACTCATAGCAAGAAAACAGGATAGAGCATCACTAACTCATAGGGAGTGGTTGGAGGGTTCAAAATTCTGACTTTTGGGTTCTTGTTGTTATTATGTGCCGTCAAGCTGCCTGCGACTCATAGCAACCCTATGTACAACAGTGTTAAACCGTGTTCTATCTTGTGTCAATATTCTTGTCTCTGACATACCTACCATCATTACCCTAGTTACTGAATCAGCTAAATACTAAATACCACTATTCTCCAGAGTCTCTTCTTAGACGAAGTCTGGCCTAGTTTTGTCAAGATCCTCTCTAGTTGTTTCTTTATTTAAATACCTTCTCACAAGAGAGTTTGGGGCAGTTGTCATTGACCAGTATGTTAGAAGATAGTTTTCAGAACATGTCATTAGGCAGAATAAATGCAAAGAGAAATACAACTGTAAATTGCACCCTCTTTTCTGTCATAATATATCAGTCAAGATATCCCATGACAAAGCCCTTGCTAGGGACAGGGACAATTTGTGGGTTTTGCTTAGGGAAAAGTTGTTATTCTTTGAGGGACTGGGGAAGTTCATTCCATTAAAGTGGTGGGTTATTGTGGTTGTTTCTGAGAATGGGAAACATAATTCTTGGTGTAATGTTTCTGAGTTGTATTTCCAACTTTTGTTTTATATCGTATTTTGAGATACATTATAAACTATGCTGAAATTTATATGTTGTTTTGTGCTGTTGAGTTGGAACCAACTCATATTTGACCCTCCAGTGGATTTTCAAAGGCAGTACATCACACTGAAAGAAATTGCCCATCCTTCTCCCCTGGAGGAGCTAGTGCATTTGAACCACATGCCTTTGGGGTTGCAGAGAGGTTTCTTACTACTATGCCAACAGAGCTCCCTGAAACTTATATGTAGTAACAGTAAATTATTTATTAGGAAAAGGTAACAATTTCTATGAATTTCTAAATATTGTAAGAAAACAAGCTAGTAAAGAAGGATTTTCAATTTGCTTCTAATTTTTTAATCATTTTCTCCTTACTCAATAACTAAAATGCTCTCTATTTTCATTATGCCCAATTTAAGGAAATAATTTATTTGGGAATTTCAGTGGCATCACAGAAAAGAAGGTAAAAAAGTAAAGTTTGCATTGAAGACTCCATTAAGAACGACAGAAGCAAGAATAAACCTAAAAAGAGCGACTAAAACTATGTTCACCACTTTTCAAATTAACACTTGTCTGATGTGAGATTCAATAAAGCATTTCAGTTCCTAGAGAAAGTAAAGTTTCAACAAATGAGGTTATTATGAGTTGAACATTGGTGAAATGAAGAGTGACAATGGGGGACAAGCTAGTAATTCTATGAGGGAAATAATTCAAGTGAATAACCTCTCTTCATCAAGCATTTGAAATATTAGATCTTCCTAGGAGAACAATGATACATTGACTTGCATATAAGTAGCTTAATTAAGTAGAAAATTAAAATATGATTTGTGTTTTCCCTGTTCATTAAAAAGCACTCTAGTTGGGAAGTTGAAATACTCAGAAAAGTTGTTAGAAACACTTTTGACTGACGACATAGCATAATGTATGGAGCCAGAATGTCAGGAAGTGATTCTCTAAGATGATGATGGAGGTCATTTACATTAAGTTGACAAGACCTGGCCATGACAAACAACTGAAGAGTCCCAAAAGACCATGATGACATGTTCCTAGAATTCTTTTTAAATCATATGGTATTAGTACTGTGCAGATTTGTCTTGCATCATTAGGAAGTTTACACATTATTTTAAATTTAGTATATACCAAAATAGTCATGGTAACTATAATGTGCTTTTGGAGTAGCAGTGAAAAATATGCTTCTATCCTTTTTTTGTAAAGTAAAACCCAGAACTCTGAATTAAAGAGACTATGTAACCATATAACAATTCCACTCTGAAGCAAAAACACTCTGTACCTTCCCTACAGTGTTTTCAAGTACTTGGGGCTATAGAAAATGCCAGTTTTAAAGAAGAAATCATAATTTCTAGATGCTCTTTAAAACATTTCCCTTAAAAAAAAAAAAAAAAAAACATTTCCCTTAAGACATCAATATAAAACCCAAATTTTTAAGCCATTAATAAATAGAAATAATCAAGCAGTGACAGGATATAAGCATTTAGCTTATATTTTATAACAACATAAAGTTTTCATTGTGAATAATAAGAATAATGTATTTGCCGAAAACTGTTCTGAAGACCATTTAAAATTTCCTTTCTTTCCTGCCAAATAGATTACAGTAATACTAGCTTAAAGGAGTAGCTTAAACTAGCATTTTAAAGTCCATACTTTTTTTGTTTTGTTTTTCTCATTCCCACCTTGAAGTTTTTGTTAGCTTCCCTTGCCAAAGACTATAGAACACATTGTATAAAATGAATCTCAAATCCATAAAACTTGGAAAGTTTATTAACCAAAATGCAAATGCTCAAAACAGGATTTGTATGGAATAGCAATTGGCAAAGCTGCTCTAGAATTTTTTTCTGTTCCTGTTACAATAAATACTGTCCCAAACAGCATCCCCAGTGCTATAGTTAAAACAGCACTTACCTTGCTGTGTTGACACTGCTTTCGTTAATTCTTAAAGCAGATGCACTAAGAACAAGAATCCACCAGTATATGCTGTAAACTCTGTCAGGACGGAGAACTGGCTGCCAGATTCCTAGTGATACAAGAGCTGAGGGGGGTGGGAAACCCAGCCCAGTCACGCCAGTCTCTGAATGGAGTTACTTCTTTGTGGGACTCTTGTGGTATATGGCATGTGAAAGCTCTGTTCCCTAACGAAGTGCAGGTGGACTTGAAGAGTGAGGGCAGCCCAGCCGCATTCCCTATGGAATGGCAGAGAGATAAGTGCCTAACTACGTCAAATACCACAGCTTTTCCCCATAGCCTGAGTTTGCTGCAAATGAGGCATCTGGCAGTAACAACAATTTTCTTACAAATCAACCTCCTTTTATTTCTCTGCTTGTGTAGTTTAAGCATGGCTCTCTTGGCCACCTATCACATTCATACATGGAACAAGTCGTTTCAGGAAAATGCAAATGAGGAAATCAAAGAAATGTAATCCTACCACTCCTAGAATCTACATTGATTTACGTGAACTTACCATTTTGGACCATGAATGATGTCAACGTACATTAGTTTTTAAAATATACAATGAGAATGTTTCCTACACATTTTGATACATATATGACAAAAAACCCAACGATTTCAATTGACTTCTTATACTGAGGAAAATCTTTCTAAGCTATACAGGTCTGGAACTAATCAACAATGTCTTGCCTGTTTCTTATTTCATGAATTTCATTTAGGAACTCACCCAAAACCTTACTTGGGGATATTATGATATAGTTTCTTGCCAAAGAACATAAAAGAACAAAGAAAAAAAAATAAACATATATTAAAAATATCACAAGGCAGTAATCTTTCATTCTGTCATAGTATGCTAGCAATATATTTTCAAAGTTGTAAATTATTCAAAATTATAGTCTTCCAAAGATCTGGTTTGCTATATCTTTCATCATTAGTTTCTATTTCTTGCTTTTTGTAGAAATGAGAGGTCTATTTGATTGATACCTTGACTCTTTTATTTTGTGATTTCATAACCTATGATTTTACAAGACATTTTCCTCTAAGATTTTCACTTCCTTGTGTTTATAACTCTCAAAACTTGATATTTTAAATTGCAAAATTATAAATGTATTTGTCTTCTTAAAAATAATTTGAATGAGTTACTTTTAAAGCTATAAGATCTATTAAAAGCTAATTAATCTTTAAAACCATCAATGTATACAAATGAAATATTGATACTCAAATTAAGGGTCTAATTTTGTAATTAAACACTTGAAAGCCAAAAGATGATATTCTAGAAGGACACTCAGGAAGTCATGAGGTTATTCATAAACATAAAATATTATTTCTTCAAAAGGGGTAGTGGTACTAGGGATATGTAGTACTAGGGTACTAGTGGCTAATGTTAGATGTATTTTAGCTGAAAGCAGGGCATACCAGAGGACTGTATATCTGTGTTTCATTGACTATGCAAAGGCGTTTGACTGTGTGGATCATAACAAACTGTGGCTGACTC